GGACCATTCTCTGTAAACCCTAGAGATGGTTGTGCGTGAAAATCCCAGTAGATCAGCAGTTTCTGAAATACTCAGACCAGCCCTTCTGGCACCAACAATCATGCCACGTTCAAAGTCACTCAAATCACCTTTCTTCCCCATACTGATGCTCGGTTTGAACTGCAGGAGATTGTCTTGACCATGTCTACATGCCTAAATGCACTGAGTTGCCGCCATGTGATTGGCTGCTTAGAAATTAAGTGTTAATAAGCAGTTGGACAGGTGTACCTAATAAAGTGGCTGGTGAGTGTAGTTCCTTCAGGAAGTGAAACTCTTCTTGAGGCACAGACGGCTGCACTAAGTTGCTTGATGAATCTTCCATAAACTGAACAAACCCTCTCAATGCCACCAATTCTGTCATCTTTTCACCTTTTCCTACTACAGCTTTTTTATCCCACTCAACTTTTCTATAACCGTTTAAACTTCTGTATTTAAATTATTTAGACGCATTGCTCATAGATTTGATTTAATCTTGATGATTGTGGCTCAGAACTGATGGAAACCAAAGATGGTGTAGTCAGAATTTGTCAGAAGAGAGATGTCAGCCCATTAAAGAAGATGTATTTTTTAATGAAACCTCTGAAAACAAATTCACTTTATTTCTTGAAAAGCATATGCATTCTTCACCTGCTTTTCATTTAACAGTGAAGATAAAATATCAACCTTAAAGGTGTAGTGGAGGATCTTCCTGTATTTTTGAAAATACCTGCTCTGTCCAGATAAAAAAAGTGCACATGCACAACCCTGTACCAGCTTCAGAGAGGGAACACCTATTAAACGTGTGCAAGAGCATGCAAAAGCCCATTTCTCCTCATTTTACTAGCAGTGATGTGAAATGGATTACACCAAATCACATGCAAAAACTTTACCGGTCAAGTGGAAACTTTGCAACCGAGGTATCAGTGGGAAGCTGTGGGACCCGTGCTTTCAATGTACGCCATTACGTGGAAGAATTTCCCAAAAACACTCTGGTCTTGTTTCATATGAGGCCTTTCTATTCTTCTCATACACTTTTTCTCTTACGACCCTCAGCCATTTTCAAAGAAACGTGGTGAGAAAGGTGAGCTTCAATGACAGTCTGAAACCGTAGCTCACCACAGATAAAAAGTGCGGAAAAAGATAGTTAATGGGACGAGCATGTAGGACGGCCTTACGTAAACTTATCAACAGAATGATTGACAATTAGGAGGACCACTTATTTTTATGATCCACCCGGAAAAAGAACATCCTCTACTATATCTTTTAAGATGACTTTTAAAGTTCTTAAAACTCTTGGAATGCTAACTTTTAATATTTTGGAACAAATAATGTTCCAAAAAAGTAAAAAAAATTGGACTCTGTTTCCAAGTTTTGAAGATGTTTCACTTCATGTCCAGGACCTTTTTTAATTAAAAAATGTTTTTGAATTCATTTTTGAGTTGACAAAGCTTCCTGGATGGGAGTTTTGGAATGACTATGACCTGGATGACTGAGAATCTTTACCAGCAACAAATAACGTTGATATTCTCAGAGGCAATACAACAATAAAGGAGTTAAACCAGCAGATGAACTGACATTTTGTTGTCTGCATGGAGTAGAAAGTGAATAGTGGAGCAGCAGAGCTCTCTGCTTCTTGTTAAAGCGTAGCGACAGAGACCAACAAAGGCTTCAGAGCTTCACGGCGCCTAAAGCGCACCTCTGAAGCCCCCTGAGATCTCCTGTTTTCAAAGAATCCTGTGGTCTCGTTCCCTTCCTTGCTCAGAAGTTCGATCCCCGTAGAGCTCTTAGCTGCCCACATCCTCTCACTTTAAGACCCCCGCCAGGCCGCCATGTACCCTTAAACATTTAAAAAGAGCTTAGCTTAAAGGCTCTTCTGTGGATAGTGCAGCAATTGTTCATAGTTGTCATTCACAATGAACAGAAATGCAAAGCGAGGTACTAATTTAATACATCTGTGTTTTTTTTACTCAACAAAAGGAATTCACAGTGCAGATTCTTGCAAAACTATCTGTGCTGGAATTTAATGTTGACTGTTTTGTAAGAGACATTAAAAATGAGACATTATGACAGATTTCCTGCAGCGGAGCTCAAACGTCTCAAAAGACAATCCAGGCATTTTCCTTAAAGTAAAACTTCAATACCTTTTCAACCTTGTAGTTATTTTAAAATGTTTATCTTTTAACTCTTATTTTTGTCAGATCTTATCCACAGCTTTTTTTTTTGTTTCTTTTTTTCTTTGTTTTTTTTGCCTATTTCAAAGTTCACTTCTTTACAATGCATCTGATGGGATAAAGCAATAGAATATTAGTGTGCCAGTGCTCTTTATTTATTTATTAGCACCAAAGTTAAATATTTCACATAACATAGCGCAGTTCTTAAACTAAAGTTCCTCTTGGAAACTGGTTTCTATGCGTTAGTGTGGAGTCATCCCGACCTTGGATCAGAACTAACCCAGGTAGCTCCAAGTTTTTAAACACTGAAGCATAGACTAACTGCTAATCCCATGTTTAACAAAGCAGATGTTTGTTAGAGACAGCGGTGCCTCTTGTGTAAATAGGTTTTTTGGGCAAACTTTTCTTTCTGCTCCCACCCTCCACAGTGTCATGCAAACACATGCACTACCAAAACAAAATCTGTCCTGCATAATTAAGAAACCTTTCCATCACGTAACATAACAAAACCCTTATCCATTATAAAAAATT